AAAATAAAAAAATCATAATTAAATGCGGGTTATGCCGCACGGGAACAGCTAGTATATTGATATTTAATACAATACAATGTTATAAAAAAATTTAAAACTAAAAATAGACGCACTAGACCTGCCGCTGGCGGGGAGCGAGCCGGGGTGGGTTTTTGTCGATACCATTCCAAAACGTCACCCAACAACCCGTTTGCTTCAACAAAGCGCCCTACACAGGACAAACTTAGATCTTATAACCGGTACTAAGTGACGATTGTAGGTAATTTAACTGTACATTTTAAATACATGCATTCTTGGGTATGCTTTAAATGGTTTAAAGCCGAATATTGCAAATAATAAACACTTTCCTTCGTAAGCGTCGCAAATTTGTTTTTAATTTTAATAGTCAAGATTTTAATGGCGTTTAAGCGTGGACTTATCATTAAAGCTGTATTTAAATGTCGTTTCAATAATCGGCAAGAAGAATAATCTTACTGCATTAACTGTACGTAATAACTTTTTATTTATGTGTCAAATACAATAAAAAAATCGAGTAAACTGCAATTTAAAGTGCATAATGACCGATGTTACGCGATGTATTTGCATAGAACGACTCGTTGGTCGCTTGGCTTCTCCGTAACTCTACTGATTGCAACAATGCTCGCGGTGTAACAAGTTACAAGCAGAACATCGCACGCTCTTAACGCTGTTCTATTTTAAATATTACCGATTCACCATTAAATTTAGTCTATTATAATTCTTATTATAAACTAGCTTTCGCCCACGATCTGTACGCGTGAATAAATACAAAAGTAAATTGCCTATGTGTTCTTCCAGACTATCCTCTACATCTATGCCAAATTTCATCGAGATCCGATCAGCAATTTAGGCTACCAACTCTAACAGACATCCATCCATCTAAACTTTTGCATTTATAATATTAGTATGATGTAATTGTTCAAATACAAAAAGACACATTGTCTCTACATAATTTTGTGTTGTTCCCGAGCAGTGCACTAGTGTAGTCTCCCCGCGCCCCCTGCGGACGCACGCATCACTTACCACGCCCGCGTCAAGTGCCGGCAGGTGTTCATGTCACCGGTAAATTCTCAACCCCGACAGTTTGTAAATTACCCAACTTAATTGTAATCGGCAAATTGTTACAATGTCGGTCAGTGTCACATTTACAAAGATGCGAAATGTAAAAAGATAACATGCAACTTGCTGAGCTTTTACGGCATTATATAGGCATTATACAAATGAGCAGAGTTCACAAATTTCTGGTGACATGTACACCGCGTTACGATGTGCAGTGTGTATGCACACCCGCATACTGCATTAATAGGGGGTCGGGTAAAGTTGTTACAATATTAATTACTTTTGATAGGCTTCCTAGAAAACATTTAAAACGTAAAAAAACTATAATAAAATATCACATAAAATGGGGAGCCGCTATTAGACTGAATGGCGGGAAAACTACGACCCATGTTTACGTATGAATAATTTGAAATATGCAAATAAAATTATATAATTTGATCTAACTGTCTTAAATACTTAAACCAGTGCAATGATCTCAACTATCGGAGCAGATTATATGTAAATGAACTATCGGAACAAACGGAAAATGTACCGCATTTCCTGAGAATTGATTACCACTACAATGTTACTTAAACGTATCAAATTCCGCAAACTCGCTGCCCCCTGGCCCCCTAGCCCCCTGGCTCCTTGGCCCCCGGCCCCCTGGCGGTGGGAACGTAAAACAATCGTGGGAGAGTGCACACCACGCACTATGATAATCTAGTGCCCATTAAAATAATACCTTGCTGCTACCGTTTGTGATAACACACAATTACCAACTCTATTTTATATGTGGTTGGGTTAATTTTAGCTTGACGTTGTATTGCAGGGTACTCTTTGTGCTCGGTAAAATGAATCGTTTATTTATAACGATTTTTAAAAACATAAATATTAGACAGTTCCGCGCTTTTTCATAAGTTCTTAGTATTGAAAGATTTTTAGCTTCGTTTTAACACTGTAAATACAATTCCTGCTTTATTCACATTATAAAACTTGATATATCAATGCTTTGATATATAGACAAATTAACTAATTCCTTGAACTACAAACAAGTTGCTCAACTAGTAACAGCAATCTAAACATTTAAACCTGAATATCTTCCAAGCAGACCGAATATAGCATATCTAAAACAGGTAGCCGAATTCCCAAAAAACACGACGCACAGCCTATACAAAAAACTGTGGGCCGTATGTTTGCTTTCAGAGGCGATGCACTTGTCAAAAAGCAAATAGTACACAAAAGACTTCGGAAAGTAAAAGAACAAAAATATAGAAATGTTGAAACAAAGGAGCCGATCCGAGGGAGGAATGGAAATGAGATGGTCGAGTGTGCGATGTGCCTGGTGCCTAGGGTTGCCACGTCGACTTCAGTCGAGGAAGTTTATTTAATTCGGTGAATCAGATCGAAAACCTGTCAAAGCAACGCGCGTTATAACTCTTATAGGGACAGTTTCTTGTACAATATTCAATAAATGTGACTCTATTTTAATTCTTTGTCTAATCAGGCGTATACCAAGCCATTTCTTTCTTCAGCCCGAAGTTTGATTACTATCATTAGATTTTTGTTGCCAGTATCTGGGACTTGCAAAGTTAGCAGCCCTATGCCTTAGTGTGAGACCTACTCATTAAGTATTCCACACACGAGAGCCGTCGATAATGGGTCCCACAGCACTAGCTCCCTCACGATACATTGTTGCCCTTTTCATATGTTATATAGTGTTAAGCTTATTAGAATATTATATACTTTTAAATAACACAGTTAAAATTTTAAGGACAATTAATTAAAAATTTATAATAAATTCTCAATAGAGATTCCAAAAATTAGCGTAATGATGCTATTGTTACCTATTGCATAATTGCATTCTTAATTAGAATTAAATATTAACATGAGTGCGTTAATACAGCAAGCGACACACAATTAAATAATCCAATAGGGGAGAGGACAAAAAAGACAAAAGCACACGTGAAAGCTTTAGTAAAAAGGCCGCCATGTCATCCCTGGATGCGTCTGAGCAAACGCTGCGCGCGACTGCGCCCGCGCCGGCCCCTATTGGCGGAGCTCCGCCTGTGGGAGTAGGATAGCTGCATTCTTCCCTGCAACTGAAAGGGATAGAGCAACGGTCGGATGCGAGGGTTCCCGATCGTTGACTCCGTCCAAGGCCATGGACAAGTAACCTTTTTTTGTCATCGTAATGTCGGTAACGAGAAATGACCTTCAACACTTTCTTTTGAGGTCATCTGACGTCAGTGGACGCATTACTTGAATCGTTTTGTATCTTTAGAGGCTGTTGCAATTTTGAAAATTACGTGTTCGTAAATGAATACTGCTTTTAATTTTCTTTGTCTCTAATCCAAAGGCTTGATTTTAGTCCTTACCCTTTCCCACCATTTCCTTATATGGAAAGAATGGGAATGGAAAGTGGATTTGACGGAGGAAATGCATAGGAAGGAGAAATATCCTCTTTATGTGCGTCTCCTTCTCCGTTGATTAGGCAACGCATTTGCAATTGCGGATATATATGGGCAACGATCGCTTCGCTTTCCCGGCGAATTCAGATCGCCGCTCTCTCGTTTGCGAACTAAAAAAAATATCTGTTATTTCTCCTATTCGTTTATATTCAGAAATGAATAATATTTCTAGTAGCTGCTTAGAATGTTAAACGTCCTCGTTTGCAACAGTTTGTTTATGGTTACTCTAGTGACAGGAATATATTAAAAAGTTGCGTAAAGAGTGCGTACAGTTGATAAGGAAGCGTTGACCTTAAAGATTATGTGCACTCGTTATCGCGTCAAAATAAACATGGGGTAAAAAAGTATATCTCCAGTGAGGTCGCGGTGTGGCGGCTGTTTACATTGCCTTTGGGATAGGTTAGGGAACATTACTGAGAATCATAAAACGCATTTAGAATATTTATGGCGCAACGCTGTTTGGACATGTTTTCCGGTGGTTTTCTTTGGTCTATTTTGGAGGTTTTTTTTTTCTTCCAAATTTATATTATCGTGGCTGCAACCGTACCGACAGACGAACAGTAGTTTTACTTTGATTTATTCAATACTTAACCTTATTTACTTAACTTATTCATCGAAAGATAAAAAAAACACAATCCCCAACTTATAATTGTACATAAGCAATAACTAAAAGTAACTTATTTACTTATATGTTAAGTGCGTTGATCTGTTGGTTACACGGAAGCTATCGGAATGTTGGCTGGCGCAGGATATTTGAAATGGTAATAGGAGACTTTTAGTTAAATATTTACACACGTGCTTGCCCGCGGCGTCGCTCGCCTCCCTACAACACTGTGTACCAATGTCTACAAAACGTCATCACGTAAAAACTATAATTTTATTATTTGTATTTTCAGACATTCACCATTTTTTGTTAATTCTAAAAATTTAACGTTAAAAAAACATGTGTGTGTTTCTACATAGATTTAAATTAGTCACCTAGGTTTACTAACCTAAAAGTTAAAAAAACTATAAACATTAAAGTATTTATTACAACTGTATGAACTATCCAGAATTACATAAATGGAGTCGAATAAAACATAAAAACATGCGTAATTCAAATCCTATTACAATAAAACTTTTTAAAATCAACCGTAACTTGAAAAATCAACCTAATGCATCGCCAATAAGAGTTATATTAGAATAGTATTAATCCAACAGAAAGCGCGTAGGTGCGCCTACGCAAGTGATCCTGATGATTCACTATGGGAAACTCATTTTAAAACACAACGCAACTTGTTTATGGTTTATGGCACAATTAATGAGACGTTTATTTTCTACAAACATCGACTTAATAATACTACTAACGCCATCTCTTGGTTACAAACGTCATTTTTTGTATTTTTGAACGATGTTTTAGATTTTGGGCGTTTTATGTATTTTTTTTGTAACGTAGATGTAAGAAACTTTCTGACTTTGTTTTAATTTCTTTTTCAGATACTAATCCGCGCTAAATGGAAACAGAAGGAAGATCAACAGCATCACAAACTAAGCAATCAAAGTAGTATAAATACTTAAAAGGAACTGCGTATACATTTTTAATGTAAGTTAGTTTGCATTGATAGTATTTGTACGAAATTAAATTACATTTGTTTAAACTGCTTGCAAAAAATACATAACTCAGCACTTCACAATATTAAGATTTCAACTTAATTCAGTCAAAATAGTTTACGTATTCATATTCCAAACCTTACCTTGCCATAATTAGCAATGGATATTCAAATTTGAACCTTATTATGAGAAAATAAAACATAATTTTATATTTTAGAACGAAGCTACACGGCGGCTAGCGTCGCATATTTTTCGTTCCTTTTTTGAATTTGAAATTCTCAGCCGACATTCCCGCGCTCGATTCCATTGGGCGAGCGGGAATGTGCAAACAGGACAGCAATATTCAACGAAGAAACGAGTGCAAACGAGACGGAATGCAATGCGTTCAAGTTTCCAGACGTTGCGTTTTTCCGTGGGAGTCCAAAAATTTTAATTTGATGAGATAAAGAACTTAGTTGTATAGACAGAAATTGTGTTATATTTAATAAATTATTTCTTATTAGGTTAATGTTATAGTACATTCAATGACTAAAAGATACACTGATAGGCCTTTCATTTCTTAAACATAAATAATGAGAAATTGCAAAACCAAAAGTGAATAGCCTATGTCTTCTTACAAGCTATCTTCTAAATCTAAGCCAAATATCGGAATCCATTCAGCCGTTTAGGCTATAAACTCTAATAAACTTGCATCCATCTAAACTTTCACATTTATAATATTAGTATGATTTTATTACTCTATGTTCCAGATATCTCATGAAACAGAATCTATCAGAGCAACACGACTAAAAGCTACGTTTGAAAATATATCAAGTTTCAGAGGGAAACAGTGGTCGTCCTATAAATAGTTAATCCTGTTTGGAATCGAATAACATTCCTTACTTTTGACTCCGAAAGAAATATTGATGTCCTAATTAACACCGGGATGCATCAATTGGGATAACGATGTAATATAATTTATGCTATTCGTAATAAATCATATAAATAACAAAGAAATAAAGCTTATATTTTTTTAACAAGGGAACGAATTGCGTGAATTAACTAAGAGTGTAGTTTAAAATTATTTGGTAGAAAAAAACTAAGCGACCCGACAAAGAGCAGTCAAATATTTAGTGAAGTGAAGAACATCTAGAAGACAAGACACCGGACGTAACTGGGCCTGGTAACTCCACCACCGTTGGCGTTACGTCATACCGCCAACGGGGGCAGAGTTCCTTCTCCTAGTTGCGAGGTTCTACACATAGAAGATTCTAGAACACAGATATAGAAGAATTGTTAGCAACTGTTGTGTATGCAATTTATTGTAATGATGTTTTAAGTCAAAAACTGTTAACTAAAATGTTCCGATTTTTGTAATTGTTTAAATAACATTATATTTCATTTATTATAACTGTAATTGTATTTGAATTATATTACTTTTTATTGTGGTATGTAGTAATTAAATGTTTGTATTCCTTGTGTTCCCTTCCATACGATTTCATGTTATCTTTCAAACATGCTCATGTGTTTAATCGTTTCTTAGTGCATTTTATTTGTACTACAATATATACAGGTGTCCGGGAACTGTGTACAATGGACTACGACAGATTCCTTGGTCGAAAATATGACGATTTACCTGAACTTTCTTCTATCGAGTTGCTTCGTTTGGGCGCGAGAGGGCTCCAAAGTTTGCTAATTATTTTACCTTTATTTAAAGACATCGTAAAAAACTCTTAATACATTTTGTTTATATTCAAACCATAGTTTACATTTGTAAAACTACATATTTTTGAAACCGCCTGTACAATCACTGTCGAGTTTTTTTTAAATAAATGGTATAACTTAAAAGATTTTGTATTATTTTATCCCAACGACCTGCTGAGGCCTCTTTCCGCCTTTCATTTGTACTCCAAGTGTTTCTATAGCTTATTCATCTATTGTTAATCACATTTGAGAGTGCGAAGTTCCGAAGCACGATGTATTCGTTAGAGAAAAGTGGAAAAAGATAGAGACAGCTGATCCTACTACCATATGGGAGACAGCCTCCTAGACAAAGTGACTCCCTATTAGCGATATTGCGTAGAATCGAGTCAATGTATCGAAATATATAGGAATAAATGAATGAATGTGACAAGCACGTGATTGATCAAACATTGTCAGTTCCGGAGCGCCGGAGGCCCAACTATAGTCCCCTTCCCGCCCTTTTTATTAAAAGAAAAGGATGGGCAAGAAATGTGAATTTGATGTTGGACGAGATAGGAAGGGGAAATATATCTTCCCGACGTCGATTAACGGTAGGCAACGCTTTAGCTATTGCGATTGTTTATAGGCAGCGGTCGCTTCGCCATTTTGGCGGATTCAGGTAGCCATTTTCTCGTTTGCCACCTTATATAAACGTTCCATACATTTTTGACTTTGATCAGCGATAGCGATAATCGTTTTTTTTATAAGCTAAGGGGCAAACGAGCGGCGGAACCGAGCTGGTCAACGACGCCCATGGACATCAGCAACACCAGAGGAACTGCAGATGCGTTGCCGCCTTTTTAGTAAATTGTAGGCTCGCTTCTTGAAGGAAGGGGATGTTACTTTGTGAGAGGGCTGGCTAAAAGAGAGAGTACAAGATGTTAATTGTTCACGATTTGATAAATGAAACAAACTAGATATCAAATGATCAGAGCGTTTATTAACAAATATTTCAGTCAACGATTGACGCAGCTCGTTTTCTTACATCCTGTTAAATAAGAGCGGGAATTCTAAAAATACAAAAATCACGTTTTAGAATCGTTTATATATCACTAGCGAATTAAATATATACATAACTTAAATTAAAGCTAACTTATTTTTACTTGTCGTCAACAAGTTACATAGTTCTATTTCTCTATGGCGTTAACTCGCTTAGATATCTAAATCCACTAGTTGTCTTATTTCTCACAATAAACAAAGATATACGAATAATATCGTATTTTTGTGTAATTCACAAACTCTTTTATCTTCAATCTGAAGCTTGCGTTAAAATTACCGAAATTCATTATTATTTTAAAATTTCGATTTAACCAACATGTAATGTTTTACAAGAATCTTTATTACTATTCATTAATCTTAATCTACACTAAGGATCGTCCTTATTAAACTCTGAGTGGCAGTAAATGTAACAAAACTATCACAACGTGAAATGTTCCGGCGATATCAATGCACGTATTGGTCGACTTTGAATATGAAAATGTAATAATTGTTCCAATCACCTTAAAATAGTTCAATGACGTCACTTCTTTGTAATTATTTCATATCTTTACTGTAATAAATAAAACGTATTCTGGCAAAAAATAATTAGTACACGGAGTTACAGAAATACTAACAATACGAGTAAATTGTAATTTCTTAGTGTTTTTTTAATTACAGGTGTATGGGAATAAAAAATAATGCCTATACAAGTGTCTTAAAATAATAAAAAAAAAACAAAACACAAACAATTTAAAATTGTCAAAATAATGAATTTGAATTTAGAATCAAAAACCAAAAACTAAAAAGTCGTTAAAATGCGATGACGTCACAAGCCGAACGCTTACTCCGATCGCGTCTATCGTTTGTTCCGCTCTCGCTCGCACACTCGGCACAAGAAAGAGACAAAACAAAGCTGCACTTTTATCAAAGAGAATATAAGGGATGGCATTATTAACTAGACAGCTAAAAACTGTTTATTTCTTACAGATTTATTCAGAAATATCGTAATTGCATTTTAAAAACTATTACATTGGTGTTATGGTCGATTTTCTATTGTTATACACGAGGTATTTAAATATTTCAAATTGCTGAGAATCAATATTCAAACTTACATACAATTCTGCGTTATATTACATTTACTTTAATTCATTTTTTATTAAAATATTACGTAAAAGTGCATCTTAAACGTCATTCCGTCGATAGATTTCAGTGCAAATAAGGTCCCAATAATACAAAAACATACATGTTAAAATATTCCGGTTATGTACACTATTATATACTGAGTCTTCAAAACAAAAAAAATCCACCTACTTCCTAACAAAATAAAATATTGGCACCATATTTATTGAAAATATACATACAACAAAAATCTAACTAAAAATAATAGTCTCGGGAACCCATTTAAATATATGTTGTATTTCTATGTTATCTGTATGTACAAGTGTGACGTGTGCTGTGACGTCACTGACTGCGCCCCGGGGGCTCGCTCGCCCACTTTTATCTGAAATTTAATATAAAAACACATGTAGAGACACAGACAGAGTACAACATAACCTAAAAAAAATTGTGACGTCACAACGAACATAAAAAATAGTCAGTAAAGAGATATTTTTATATCATTTTTAATCTCTCTCGTCAGTCTCAATAATTACTTAGTTTTTTAAATAACAAATCAATACCTTTAAACAATTTCTGACTAAACAGATGTTATTGCAAGGCACTTAATACATAGGAATGTGTAAGTTTTTAATATGACATGTTTGTTTATCGTGTACAGTCAGGGAATTTGTCGGTGTTCCGTCCTAAAAGAACAATAACTAATAGTATATTGCTGTTAAATGTCACTTGGAAAAAATGTCAATAAAGATAATTGCTTTGTCGTTGCAAGTACCAAGACAACATGTGTATGTCGTGTACGTGTTGGTGTTGGTGTTGGCGTTGTGTTGGTGTCGGTGTTGTGCTGGTGTCAGTGTTGGTGTTGGTGCTGGTGTCAGTTTTGGTGTTGGTGTTAGTTTTGGTTTTGGTGTTGGTGTCAGTGTCGGTGTCGGTGTCGGTGTCGGTGTCGGTGTGTACGCACGTGGTGCGGCAGGCGGGCGGGTGCGTGTCGCGCTCGCCGCCGCCCGCGAAGCTGATGTTGAAGAGCATGGCCTCGAAGGGGTCGCTGCGCATGCGCTGCTGGTTAGCATGCGTTGCGCCCTCCAGGTCCGACACCACGCGCGACTCGCTGCCGCCGTCCTGACAACAAATAACTGCCTTACAAAGGAGCGAGTTGAGCGTGGGGTCCGTGTGGGGTTTATAGGGTGTGCGGGGCGTGTGTGATGCGTTTGTGCGGGGTGTGTGTGTGGGGTCACCTCGGGGCGGGGGCTCCAGAGGCGCACGACGGCCTCAATGCCGCTGGTGGCGAGCAGACACAGCGAGGGGTGCATCTGCACGCAGTTGAGGATGGACTCGTCGGCGCGCAGACAGCGCGCCACGTTGCCCGACGCGCGGCACCAGATGAACAGGCTGCCGTCGTCCGAACTTAACACAACATTACTCTAAATATACAATAGGTCACATTAAAAAGTATTTTTAACCCGATTCCCGCTTTTACATTGTTACTAGAATTCTTCCATTTGATACTAATGTAGGGAATTTTTTACAGAAAAATGTCATCCACTATTTAACGGCGAGCATCATAAATTCATAATGACACTAAACTTATAAAATGCATTATCTTCTGAATAAAAAATGTCAAACTAAAATTCAGAAAAAATCTTACAAGGTAAAGTCGGGGAAATTCGCGGTGTTTCACTATAGAAAAAATTGCCTTATTCATTGCAACGAGACAAACTCTGCCTCTTTCTACAAATAACTAATTAAGTAGCAGTGAACGCAATTAAAGGGACAATAATAAAAATAAGCCGTGAATCACTAACGTACTTTTTTTCGTATAGACACATTTTTCAAAATGTTCAAACAATTGTAGCTTTTGAGGCGGAACACCGCTAGGTTCCCTGACTGTGGAAGGTTGAAGGTGTGCGGTGGAAGGTGGAAGGTGGGAGGTGGGAGGTGGGAGGTGGAAGGTGGGAGGTGGGAGGTGCGGCGCAGTGGACGTACCCCGCGGCGACGTATGCGGCGCGCGGGCCGAGGAAGACGGCCTCCTTGATGTCGGTGGTGGTGTTGCAGTGGCCCAGCAGACGCGCCGAGTAGTCCAGCGCCGCCGCGCGCAGCTGCCGCTCCGCCAGCGACGTGCTCAGCGCCTCCTCGCTCTCCTCGGCTGCGGAGGGGCCAACGGTCGCCCGCACTTGAAATTTAAACCGCGCCTTTCACTCCTACTGCCCGCACTCTACTCGACACTCACTACCTTTTTTACATCTATTTCTCTTTACTAATATAGATCAGCGCTGGCTGCTTCGGCTACAAGCATCCAGCATTTAAACCAAATTTCAGTTTTACTGACCGCATACTACTGGACCAATTACTATTCCCTCATTTCTCATCAATACTATTACTAGCTATTCCCCTGTAGCTTTATCCGTACCAAATTAATTTTAAATTACAAATGTCATATAATAATCAAAGCAACCTTGTTCCTTGATGATTTAAGGATTTTTCAATTTATTTACCCCCTAAGTTTGATAGCGTGATAACATATAACCTAAAGCTTGTGTTAATTGTAGGGATTTTTAAAGTAAGAATTATCCAAAAATATGCAATGATTGCTGACATTATACGTCACAAAGGACTGTTTACGCTTTATAATTACTAGCTTTCGCCCGCGACTCCGTCCGCGTGGAATTTTAGAACACAAAAGTAAGTAGCTTATATGTTCTTCTAGACTATTCTTTACATCTATGGCAAATTTAATCGAAATCTGTTCAGTAGTTTAGGCTACAAACTCTAGCAAACAACCATCCATCTAAACTTTCACATTTATAATATTATTATGAAGTCTAGCTGTTCCCGTGCGGCTTCATCCGCATGAAATTATGAAAATTTTATTTTATTGTTTACATTTGTCAAATAATTAATTACAAATGTCAAAATGACAAACCATAGCAACCTTGCTTCCTTGATGTTGGCAGCAACTTATGGTCTCTTTCCCACATTAGGGTTTTTATCCAAAATATTTACCCCCTAAGTTTAATGGCGTGAAAATATGTAGCCTAAAGCGTGACGCGAGTGCAGGGCTTTTCATTAAATAAAGAATTATTCAAAAATATGTTGTAATTGCTGACATCTTAGGGAACAAAGAAGTGTTTACGCTTTATTATAATAGTATAGATAGATTAAGTCTGAACTGACCTTCATCGGGCAGGGTCTCGATGTTCTCGAGCGCCAGGTTGATGTCCTTCTGCAGCAGGAAGACGGCGTGCGACGCCGCGTGTCGCGGGAACTTGTCCTTGAAGTAGAGCAGGCACTCGTGCGCCTCGCGCGGCCGCTTCAGCTCCATCAGGCCCTTGGCCAGCCGGAAGTGCGACTTCACGTTGCTGGGGTCCAGCTTGATGGCGCGGTAGCAGTCCCTGATCGCCGCGTACGTGTCGCCGGACCTTACACATTATCAAAATACGTATAAACTTTTGCAAGTGTGGAATTAAAAAAATAATAAAAAAAACACAGCCCATGTTACTCAGTGTTAACATAGCTTCGTGATGGTGAAAGAATTTTTGAAATCGACCCAATAGTTTTTGAGATATTTCGGTACATACAAAAATACAAATCTTTCCTCTTTACAATTTTAGTATAGACTAGCCGTTGCTCGTGACTTCGCCCGCGTGAAATTAAAAATTGTAATAAAATACAGCCTATATCACTCACTGATAACGTAGCTTTTTAATGGTGAAATTTTTTTTGAAATCGGCCCAGTAGTTTTTTCAGTACATACAAAAACACTAATCTTTCCTGTTCATATTAGTATAGATATAAATAAAATTTATCTGCACCCAATTAAAAAAAATACGAAACTATTCTTCCAAATTTGTTTAAAAACTGTGACAAATTTAATCGAAATCCAGCCTTTTTGGAGATACTTTCGCATTTATAACATTAGTAAGTAAAGTCCAGTAATACTTATGCCAGTAGCTGGAATACTTACATACCAGTTACAAGTTTAACCGCTAACATGCATACCAGTAGCTGGCATGCCAGCTTGAAGCTGCACATCCAAAATGCTTACCAGTGACTGGAACACTACATTACACTGGCATTTGTATTCCCACCACTTAACTAACGAGTTTTTGAGTAAAATTGTTGGTCCCTCAAGTCGGATAATGTAATGGTGTGGTGTGGTGGTGTGTTTCAGTTACTGACCACCCCCTGCGCATGAGCGTGGCGGCGCGGTTGGAGTAGAGCACGGCGTGGTCGGGGCACTCCGCTATGGCGCTGTTGTAGTAGTCCACCGCCGCGATGTACTCGCCCTTGTTCACCAGCTCGTTGCCCTGCACACTTCCTACGCTATTATCTCCAAAAATAACAATAATTCTTGCTGTATATTAAAGAACAATTATTAAGGAAGGTTTTAATATATGTATAATAAAGCTATCTTATTTAGGAGGCGAGTAGGAACGAAAAATAAAACATCTTTACAGGAATGTGTCAGCTCGACCGTTGCAATACCACGACCACACAGAAGAATCTCGTGAAGTGAGAGATATTCCGCGTAGTCTGGTAATAGTTTTTGAGTTATTTCAATAAATACAAAAATACAAATCTTTCCTCTTTACATTAGTAGTTACAGGCATTTATTGTAACAAAGTAACTTAAACGCCAATAACTCCCGGCAGAATGGCGCCTCATTATTATACGTCACAATGACATTGACAGCTGTCATAGGGATGGGACGTCTATGTCCATCATTTAGTGTTGCGCCAATCCACTGCAATATAAATTCTTCTTAGCCCTTAATTCGACTGAGTTTTTCAAGTAGCCTATGCGTTTTTGCAGACTATTTTCTAGATGTATGCCAAATTTCATAGAGATCCGTTTAGACTTTTTTAGGCTACAAACTCTAACAAACATCCATCCATCCAAACTTTCGCATTTATAATATTAGTAAGATAAGTGCTCACGGCTTCCTTGAGCTGCAGTATCCTGTCGGGCAGCGGGGGCTGCGGCGGCTGCGGGGGCTGGGGCTCGGGGGCGGCGCCGCTGGTGCCGTTGGCGGGCGAGGTGGTACCGTTCTTCGGCGGCTGCTTACCCTCGCCCTCCCTGTTGCCGTGGTTGTGCTGGATTATGAAGCTCTCCACTAATATCGGCCTCCGACCGGAGTTTATGTCGAATAAATAAACCTGAAAACAATTAATAAAAACGATAAATTACTAACAATTGTTTTTATAGGATAAAGTGGTAACGAGCTATATAAATTCGCTGAAATAGCGAAACAACAAATGCTTAAATCAGGTGCAATTGTAAAGTTTTCTATCCTTAATCGGTAGATAAAGATACAAATATGAAAATGATATTTTCCCTTCCTAAGCATCCCCTACACCATTCAATAGACATTCCCTTCCCATCTTTTCCTAAAGGGTGAAAAAGAAAGGGGACTTAACTACATGTTCACTACATTGAATACTAACACTATATTGAAAATAAATAACGAAATGTAAGTAAATAATCTGTAAAACAATAACTTACATGTTCTGAGCCCAAGTTAACAATAAGTTCATTCCCGTCGTTGCTAAAAGACACGTAAGTGGTCGCTTTCTTTGGGAACGTGTGCTCGTTGGCGTCCATTGAGAGGTGACCTGCCATTACAATTTATATCTAACAATATTACTCACGACAATAACCCAAAGGGGTAAGCAGAGACTACGGATCTATAATTAGCTCCATCTTAACACCATATCTACGCTTACAGGCACGCCCGTTACATATAACGACTCAGCCCGCATGGAATTTTAAAAAAACAAAAGCAATTACCCGGTTTTAAGACTATCCTCTACATTTATGCGAATTTCATCAAAATTCGATCAGCAGTTTAGGATAAAAACTCTAACAAACATCTATCGACCATCACATTCCCGGATTATTCCCAACCGTCACCCCACTCTGTCCCCACGTGAGAATAAGTTTCATCCGTCCCACCTTTTACTCCCTCTATCACCAATAAGATGACAGATGGAACATTAATGAAATAAAATAAGTTCCAACCGTCCCCTCGTTGCGCAAGGTGGGACGGATGGAACTTTTTTTTCTCATCTATTACTACATGGGGACAGCGCGGGGTAGACGGTTGGGAATAATCCACATTCCCATATATGTTTCTTATGGACAACGGCGGATCCAGGGGGGAGGTCATGGGAGTCATGACCTCCCCCTGTGCTGGTTGGTCCATGATCTCGACAATGTGACCCCCCCTGGCACCAAAGCTCGGATCCAGCTTGCTTATGGATTTGTTAGTTTCCTTTTATCTGTGAGAATGTGTCACCTGGCGCGAAGTACTGCACGGCGGCCTTGGGCACGTCGTTGTCGGGGTCGCCGAGCCCCGCGCGGGAGCACAGCACGTTCTGTCGCTCGAACAGTATCTGCGACGTCGGCACTCGACTATGCTGGAATACATCACATAACAAAAATCTATCTTCTCTTATACTTTGATTCTCAGTATTTCATCTATTATAATATTTTTGGATCATTACTGCAATTTTTTTGTTAATTTATAACAAAACTTAAATAACTTGGTTGTAAAAACTATCAAAAAGGGTATTAAAATCAATCAAGTATTTTAACAACCATGAAGAAACTCTTATATACAAACTGTATTATTTTTTTTTTTTTTTGTTAAATAAACTAAAAAATGCCTTATGATATCTCAATGTTTATTTAGATTTCTAGTGATAAAAGAATGTTTGAAATACGTCAAGTAGCTTTTTAATTAAACACCAATAAAAAAAACTTTCCTCTTTATGACATCAGTATAGATATAGATTGATTTTATAAGAATTTTAACAAAAATACATACAAAAAAAACCTAATCATCTACAAAATAAAAATATAAAAATTATTATTTAGCATATAATATTAGTAAGATAAGATTACCTCTCTACTCATATGTCCCCGAGACAACTTGATCATCCTGGTATCATAGAGTCTCGCGTAGCAGTCGTTGGCACCGACTGCGAGCTGGTACGGCCGGCGAGGGTTCACCGCCACGCACTTCGCCTCCGCGTACCGCCCCAAGTGCTTGATCAGGTTCACCAGCACATTGCTGTTCACCGAGTTGCAGCGGTGGCTTGTACGAAGGTCATGTTGACTAGAAATAACAACAAAATGTTAAACAGCACAAAATAACTCTAGACATACCCATTTCAATTAATCTTAGGTCTAATAATTTTCTATACTAATGAAAAACATTATATATTTCTATAGAAAACTTGTTTTACAGAATTAAACGCTGAAAAAAAAACATATAAAACTTAATTTTTAGAATTGTTGTTAACATAGAAATTAGCATTTTAAAGAAGAATTTATGTCTCATTGTCAAAAGCAACAAAAGAAGAATTGTTCAGTTTACAAATTTCACTATTTCCCCTTACTGAGAATTTGTCAAAAGAAACATTATACTGGAAAACATACTTATGTTAATAGTCTTGTAAACCACTAAAGTAATTGTGTTGAAAATCGATATCTTAAGCTTGCAATTTCCAATTGAAATATTAAAATATGATCATACTAACATAACAACACCATCTTCACCAGCAGACCATATCAGATTAGGGTTATCTGGTGGTGCAGCAAGACGCTTCACCCTGCCACAGTGACATGAGCACTCCAGCAGCGAGGTGCCAGCCGTGGTGCGCACCCGCACTGTACCATCAGCCGCACAAGTTGCCAGTGTGTCATTGGATACAAACTGGAATAAAAAATAAACACAAATATATTGAAAAGGTTACAAGACAATATTTTGTTATTTTTTAAGCTATTACACAAAAATCATTTGTAATTAAATTAATGATGAATTAATAATCTTATTTGTATAAAAGTTTTTTTTCACTATAACCAAATTTACATATAATTGCAAAAAATCATTTTTTTTATTTTAATTTAATATAATAATTCTCTATGATCAATATTCAAATAAAAACCTAAGCATTTGAAGACAATCTAGGCTTTATAACAATTATAGCTAATATTAATTACTAGAAAGTTCTAGAAGTTGAACAACAGCATGAGTATTGATATTAAAATGACTTTACATATATCATATCTGTACAGTAAACAAGAGATAAGGAATTGTTGCAACTCCTAAAAGGAGTTTCAAATAATAGAATACATAAAAGCTACTCAAATAATTAGAAAAATTTAACTACATTTAATTGATCAATAAAGTAATTAAGACTGAAGACTAAGATTGTAACATTAATGTAAACATTGAACGAACAATGTTACATTACAGAGTAAAACATAAACAAAGCTCTTTATGATCATAAACTTAATGTTCACAATATATCCTCACCTTCACAGAGAAAATATTTCCTGTGTGGCCAGTGGCAATTTTGTGCAGTTCTTTGTATCGGTAGGGATCCCATAAAATGACGTGAAGATCGTCCGAAGCTGACGCCAATATACTGTGACGTAAAAACGAATTAACACAATCCCACTATTATATGATAAAATATATAACAAACTGGTGGACTTACGAGCCATCGTAATTCCATTCGAGGCAATTCACGCATCCCATGTGCCCGTGAAGTTCCTTCTCGAGACCCAATCGGTCTATCATACTACGGGTCACTGTCAAATCGTTTTGGAATTTGCGTTCGATATCCCCACGTTCTCGGGCCGCAGTCAGGGCGACCGTGCCCTTGGACCAAGCAGGATCTTGGCTCCTACCCATGACTGCTTATACCCAAAATATACGAGCTAAACTAACATCACGATCTAGACTAAACTGCCAACTAGAACTAAGTTGTGATTAAACTATTTATAGTTTTTTAAACCCCACATTAAATTCCTCAATTTAGGCACTGATTTTAATATATTAATGATGAAATATAATAGGAACTATTAACTAACGTACAAAATCTACAAATTATTATATGAGATTTTCTTTCGAAAATAATCAAGTGTCAAACAGCTGTCATTATTGCCAGATATGGAACTGTGTTCTCCGAAATACATGTTTTGGCAATACTTACAAATTTGGGTTTGGAATAGTTCAGGATAAACAATATAAATAGCAGATACAGAAACAAAGTAAAATATTACTTTTATTGAGTATAGTCAAACATTGTTAAAAGTGCATTGTTTAAAAGAAGTCGTTTTAATTTTTAATATTTCTGTTGGGTAACTTGAACACATTGTCACACTCACACATGTCACATTAACATTCTGTACCTGACATATTTGTGAAAGAAATAATAAAGTTAAAACTTAATTTATGTTTTTCTATTATTACTTAATAACAAAATAATAACCGGCACATGTACTTCTAAGGTAATTGAAACTGTTCCATTGGCTAAATATGTTAACTTAACTACAACGTAATTACCAGTTTTATCATCATAAAAATTGTTTTTGTTGTTTACGTCTTATTTTAATATTTTCAGAATACTTAGTCCTGTGGTAGTATCAAAATGGGAGAACGCAAGGGCCAAAACCTTTACTATCCCCCTGACTATGATCCTAAAGTCGGGGGGTTAAACAAATTCCAAGGGACTCATGCATTACGAGAAAGAGCAAGGAAACTTCACATGGGTATCTTAATTATAAGATTTGAGATGCCATACAACATATGGTGTGATGGCTGCAAAAACCATATTGGTATGGGTGTTAGGTACAATGCGGAGAAGAAGAAAATTGGAATGTACTACAGTACTCCTGTTTATCAATTTAGAATGAAATGTCATTTGTGTGACAATCATTTTGAAATTAAAACTGATCCAGGAGTAAGTTGAATTAATATTCAATTTTTGAAACCCTGCTGCAGTGACCTTAATGAAATGTATCCAAGTGTTATCTGTATTTGTTTTAATAGCTAAAAGTTATTTTTTGTCTCATGTTTATGTTGTATCTTTCAGAATTTAGATTATGTTATAGTATCTGGAGCAAGACGCCAGGAGAATCGCTGGGATCCGACCGAGAATGGTCAAATTGTGCCTGAAACAAAAGAGACTCAGAAAAGGTTATTTGATGATGCTATGTTCAAGTTGGAACATAAAACTGGTGATGTGGATCTCAGTAAACTGGATAAGCCGAGGCTCGGAAAACTTGTTGGAAGAAATGAAACTGTTTGGAAAGATGATTATGAAGCTAATTGCTCTTTGCGTAGGGATTTTAGGGTATGGAATTATTTGAAATTGTACAGTTAAGGAAATTTCCTACCCTATGTAATGCAGTAAGACAAAAAAACTTGTAGCAACTTATAGAGTTACTAGCTGTTCCCATGCGACTTCATCCACATAAAATATTTACCCCCTAAGTTTAATGGCATGAAAATATATAGCCTAAAGCATGACATAAGTGTAGGGCTTTTTATTTAAAAGAGAATTATTCAAAAATATGCTGTAATTACTGACATCTTAGGCAACAAAGAAGTGTGTGTTTAAGCTTTATTATAATAGTATAGATTATGGTGCCAGTTTGCAGTACAATATTAACTAAGTGGCTTATTTAATTATTTGGACTTTTAGTTGTTTAAGTAATAATAGTGAATATGATTCCTTTCAGAAAAGGAGGAAGGAATTAGAAGAATCAGCAATTACTGACAGTCTGTTGCTAAACAGATCATCTCTTGACATTAATTTACTGCCAGAAAGCGAGGAAGATAAAAACTTAGCATCACTACTTGCATTACGACCATCGCGGAGTATTGAAGAGAGTCATAAAAATGTTCGAATCAAAATCCTTAATAGTCCAGCATTACCAAGCTCTAGTGGACTAATAACAAGCTTTGGAGGGTTAAAAAAGGAGGAATCGCTAAGTAAAAGTTCTCCACTTACGAGAAATATTCTTGGTATAACAATAAAGAGAAACAAAGACTCTACAGAATGTTCTACAGTTAAGAAAAGTGAATGTAAAAATGAAAATAAATCAACAGAAAAATGTCCTACAATTAATGGTGATAGTACAGATGTTTTAAAAAAGAATGAAAAGATATCTTTGGTAGGGGATTACGGATCTAGTGGAGAAAGTTCAGAAGGATAAGAGTTAAGTTTTATATAATGGAGAATTTGTACTAATTTTTGCACTTTGTAATATATTTTTAAATGCCCTATATATTCTGTTATGTATTTGAAATAAAAACCACAAATTAAGAGTTCATTTTATTTTGGTTTCACCTTAAGAAAACATTTATTCAAACATGTTATTCGATGTAAAAGTTTACATATTTAGTTAGGTATGTCATTTCAGATATCTTGTCGGCTCAAGGTCAGAGCGCGTTCGCAGTGCACTTCCACGAATCTACACCTAGCATTGTGTTCCGAGCCGACAAAATATTTGAATTGTTTTCTAACCAAGTATAGTCTACAGATTTACTTTTTAGAGAACAACATTTAATGACACTAAAAATAACATCAAAGCTTATTTTTAATTAGTTGTAAACAACACAGTTATCAAATAGTTTCTCTTAGTAAAATTAAAAAGTTATAGGTTAGAATTCTTGAATTACAAACTCTTCACAGTCAGTTGAATTGAAATTATAAGACTAATATAAGTACTGCTAAATTATATGTTTGTGCAATTAACTTGCGAGGAAAAACGTTCAGTTAGTTGTCATTATATTGTCTTGGTAATTATCTATTTCTGTCACATAAAATAACAATTAAAATATATTTATTAAAAAGCATTATTTAAAATATAAATAGGAAACCAGTGTATCACAAGCAATTCATTTTAGCAGTAAAATACAGATTAGAAATTTTAAATAAATAAAATATTTATAGAAATTACTTTTTAGCCACAGACTATTATCTACAGATCGCTAATATGGGGCACAATCACAATAGAGAGGCAATAGCCCTTTGGGGGTCTTTTCATTACTCTTGATTTGTTAGATTTGAATGAAACTCTCCATCTAAAAATTATATATCTATGGCCACAAGATCATCATCTCCCCTGCCTTATCCTACTCCCGTAGGGTCGGCGCACCGGGTTTTCGTCCTCCAAAGCATTCTATCGTCCGTCATCTCAGTCATCACTCCCTTCTTGATTATGTCACCTTTCACGCAATCCATCCATCTCTTTCTAGGTCTACCTCTACCGATGTACCCCTCCACATTCATAACTAACATCCTTCTTGTCACATGCGATTCATCCCTTCTCATAACATGCCCATACCACTCTAACCTTTTACTCCTTATTTTCTCAACCACGGGGGCTACTCTCAAACTTCCTCTAATATACTCATTTCGTATCTTATCCAATCGTGTTACCCCACACATCCATCTTAACATTCGCATTTCCGCTACATGTATTCTCCTTTCATCCGTCCCTTTCACTACCCAACATTCAGATCCATACATCATGACAGGTCTTACGACGGTTTTGTAAATTTTCCCCTTTATTTTAAGGGGAATATGCGGGTCGCATATTACACCTGTAACCTGTCGCCATTTCATCCATCCCGCTTTTATTCTATTTCTCACGTCACGGTCAATATCGCCGTCGTTTTGGATTAATGAGCCGAGGTACCGAAAGTCGGAGCAAACTGGAAGATGGGCGCCATCTAAGGCAATCGGGATAAAACTAGATAAGCCCCCGAAGTCGCAGAATAGCTGCTCCGTTTTCGCTCTGCTTATCTTCAGGCCGGCTGTCTCTAGTTTATCCCGCTATCTCTCCAGTCTACTCTGGACCTCAAGCGCATCTTCCCCGACAAGAACAATGTCGTCGGCGAACAGCATACACCAGGGTGCTGACTGGGATCTATGGCCACAAGATATATTTTATAAAAGTTGTTAACTAGTGACTAGAGATCAGCGATGTTTGTATTCTAATAATAAACGAAATTAACAGGCATGAAATATGATAACCTTATCTAATTTTTACTCTTACATAATCTTCATAATGTAATGCTAACAATATTTCAAATTCCTTGATTTGTTTAGTAATGTATGTTTTTCAGTCGGGTTCATTACATTGAGATGTTTTTGCTTATAAATTATCTTATAAAAATCAATACTTTTTTATTATTTTGTTTTATCAAACTTAATATCAGTTTCACTGAACGAGTTAAGTATATCCGACATGAATAATCTTACATTTTTTTTAAACATTGACTCAAAATTAAAATTAAAGAGATCTTTGTTTATTCTATGGGACATCGTTTGTCTTCCAGTGCGTGTATGAGGGCGCATTCTATCTTCGTCTTCAGCCACTGCAGCACCTCCGCGTCTGATATCTCGATCACCTTCTCATCAGTCGAGAAATAGCTGACCATTTCGTCCTGTTATTATTACAAAAATCATGAAGTTTCATACAGATCAGTTGGACAATAATAAAATTAATTTATCGAGGCAAGCATGTGATCACGTTCACAACATCTCTTGTTCTTTTCGTAACTTCGGATTAAGATAGAAGTTAGAGTGTTTACCTGTTTGATATTCAGTATGAGTTTGTCTCCTTCAACAACGGGTGGGCCGATGAGGTCGTCCAGTTTAACCACCCACTCGATATGCCAGCCGCCTCCGCCCCCGCCCCCGCCGCCGCCACGCACCAGGAATATGTGCCTGTCAAATTTTAGTTAAACATGACGAGGATTCTGTCAATTGGTCGAATATCTTTTGAGAGATAAGAAGGGATTGATGACTGGGATGACGTATGATAGAGTTATGTGGAGGACAAAAAAGGAGGAAGAACTGACTGTGTGGTGAGCAGCAGCGTGGCGAGCGAGGCGCGGGCGAGGTGCACGTGCGCCACGTAGCCGTCGCAGGCGGCGTAGTGGCCGCGCGACAGCTGCGCCAGCAGCGCCGCGCCGCGCGCCGCGCACGCATCGTACGCCCGCACGCCCTGCACATAACGTACCAAAATAAACATCATTTGCTATACTAAACTCTGATACTTTGCTACTGCCTACTGAACTCTTAAAACCAATTATGTGAGAACAAACAGCTTGAATGGAATCAATGTTTGGCTGATTCTGCCTGTACAATCTTGTTTATACAGGAGCATTAAAACTGCAGGATAGCAGACCTAGGTTGCGTTTGGTGTGTGTGGTGGATTAGTATAAGGCACATTCTGTAAGTAATGAGAGAGTGGGTATGAACCTCGGCGCGGGGGCAGTGTCGCGGTAGGCGGCGGCGCGCGGGCAGGCGGGCGGCGCGCTCGGCGGCCGCGCGCAGCCCCGCCTCGGCGCCGCGCCACCCCAGCTGCGGGCACTGCGCCGCGCGCGTCGCCTCTCGGCACACGTCTACACCGTCATACATTTCCAAACATTAATTACATTTATAGGAAAAGACGGCAAACAAGCAAGCATCACATCTGCTGCATCACAAAAGCATCTGCAACAAGTTTGAAAACTGCAGAGTAAAGAACAATAAGGTGATATATCACTTTTCTATACGTTCCCTTCTTACCAAATCTGTTTTCCCTTACTACTTTCCTTATAAGAAAAGGTTAAGAAAGCGAAGAGAACTAAAATTTATTTTGGTCTGCAACAGTAACAAAAGTAATTGATTTTAATAGGATATTTTAATGGACACAATAAATGGAATAAAGTTGATGCTGCATGCTCTATATTACTTACGTTTCAAAATAGCACAGTCCTCATCTACTGGTCCACACCAAGCGCACACGGACAGCGCAATGAGAAAAATGTTCATGAGATCGTGAGATATCGAAAACTAAACTACTTTCAAGTTGTGTACTTAAACGTAGAAAAGTGTATCATGCAACTTGTAAAGTAGAATTATGAATTAAAAATCCATTTTGAAAAAGTTATCCAACAACATTACCATGCTTTTCATCTAAATGTAACAAAAACATTTAAAACCTCATAAAGCCATTACCATTATCAAGGTACAGAAAGTGCGGAAATATTTATAAAAGAAAAGGCATTTAAAAAGTTTTTTAAATCACCCAAAAGGTTTAATAGTAAGATATTTCATGTTTTCTATACTAACATGTTTTAATTATAAAATCAATAAACCTAAGTGGATCATGCGGCTTGCAGTGTGTGAGATGTATGAGGCACGTGTGAGGCACTCACCGAGGGTGGGCCTGGCGATGAGGCCGGTGAGGGCGAGGGCGACGCCGCACGCGCTGCGCCGGCTGCCCTCCAGCACCGCCGCCGGCACGTTGTCTACCACCGACCCCTCCTCACCTATAGGTAATAGGAACAAGGATAGCTCATATGCAGCTGATAACCGATAATCCAATATTAAACGGAATTTGAAAAAAATAACAAAACAGAATTGCTCTACTGTTATAAAGCAGTAACCATGTTTAAGGTCTTCTAGAAAACTTTTAAAGAAAACCCTGTTCACTTTAATCCCCTTACACTCTACACCGGTTTTTATTTAACATCCCCCTTAAAATATTGAAGTATGAATTACCAGGTCTTTTCCGTTGTGGCGGAGGTCGCGGCGTGGTCTCCACCAGCGCGGCGCTGCAGTCGGCCAGGCAGCACGCCAGCGCCGCCTCGCCGCGTGCCCCGCGTGCCGCGCGCGACGCACTCGACAGTCGCCGCGCGCATGTGCCACCCTGTACGTAACGTGAACCAGACTAGACTAAAGGTTTAGTAATTAGGATGTAACATAACAGTCCTAGTAAAAGTAGAGTGCAATCATACTAATACCAATATTATAAATGCGAAAGTTTAGATGGACGGATGTTTTAGACTTTGTAGCCAAAACCGCGTAACGAATTTCGATGAAATTTGTTATATAGATATAGAGGACAGTCTGGTAGAAGACATAAGCTACTCACTTTTGGTTTTTAATTCCACGCGGATGCGGGAAAAAGCCAATATTTCTATATTTAAAACTCAATTAGCACATAAAAGAGAGTTGGAGGTAATAATCCCGAGAAATAGCAATATTGCTGACTACAATCTTACCAAACAGGGTTCATAATACTGCTTGAGGGACTTGGAGAAGTCGCCAATGTAGCTGTAGGGGTTGCCGAGCACGTCGAGGCCGAGCACCAGCACGTAGAACTGCTGCACCAGTTGCAGCCAGTAGTGCCGCGACGCCGCCTCCAACAGCCCCGCCCACGGGACCGGCGCCTGCCGCATCTCCAAATACGACATCCTGTAGCACATTAAATAATGGTAAATGCAAAAATAGATCTGTCAAAGTAAAACAAGTTAAGTTAACTTACTTGATTACGACATCCTTCATGTCACAAAGCGACGAGCCCCAAGAATTGAACAGATACTCAAGCAAATCACTGTTGAACAATTTTGGTCGGTTCTCTTTCTGAATGCCGTACTGCGATCGATTGGGACTGTCTGCAGTATCCAAGTATCCCCTAGACGACAGACTCAACACAAGCTTCAGTGGCGACAGATGCACATACTCGAAGAATACGTTCTTCTGTGCGCTCGTTTGGCTCTTTATGGCCAGCATTGTCAGCGGCATGTGAATCAACGCCAAGTCAGCTCGCAGCCTCACGGCCGGCTTCTCCTCCACCTTCCAGTGGTTCAACATATCAAAAATATAATTAACGAATCCCCTGTCCAGGTTCACGCAAAACTCCTGGACTAATACTTTCACGTATTTATAAATATCTTGGTTTAAATTAGGCAAGTACTGTTTCAAAGCAACAACCTCTATGCACGGTTTAACATCCTTAGTTTTTAAATGCGTAGGCAAAGAAGCAGGGTAGAGTACACAGGGGTAGACGGCTTCGTACAGTTGATTGTCTATTTGGAATCTCTGCAATTTTAGGTGACAATATGAATACGTGTCAGATTTGCGGAGCTGCAACCAAACGGCGGGATTGTACGTTCTTCGTAATTCAGAGAAAAATGGCTTCGTCATTTGCATTTTCTCCAGGTCTATGTGAATGAAGTCTTTGAGGTTACACTTCTTCTGTTCGGTTTGGTATTTATCCTCTATCCACGCGGTGAGATCGGGCGCCAGCTGCTTCCATTTGTTGCTGACGTTCACCTCCCAGCGCGGGAGGGAGTCTGTGACGCTTATGTAGGCCAATTCCTTTACACCAACTCCAGTTTCAACACATACTGATAAGCTCACGCTAGACAGGGATAAATATAGTTCGTAGTTACTCCGTTCTGAATCTATCATCATTCTGTACTGTTGTGCTATTCTTTCATCCTGAGCTAATGCGTAAACTCTTTGATAGCCGTTCATAAAAGATACCCAATAGACTATAACTTTGTCTTTCCTCATCTTCTTGGTTTTTACGAGGTTATCAGGCAGTTCAAAGCTATCGGAGTCATCACTACTAGAGGAGCAGGGCTCAGGGGACTTGGGGGTTAGGCGCTTGAGTGTCGATGACAGCTTGGAGGTCACGCTACTAGTCGCCACCAGGGTGGAATGCTTCACCGATTGGAAACTGACTTTTTCCTCGCCGTATCTGTTAAAATTAAAAAAAAATATATTTTAATGTATCTACTCATTCTTTATTTCGAGTTTAGCAAATTTTCATCTCACCCATCTTGAGAGAAGTCAGCAAGGAATCCCTTTCCCTTGTTATTGTAGATATTCCACATGAGTTTTCTCTCCTTGGCGGGGTCGTCCCAGGTGTAAAGAAGGCTCTGATGAGGGCTCAGTAGCGCCACCTGGCCGCAGTCCGCCTGGTGCAGTTTAAGGAACAGATCCTCACACAGGTTTTCAATGCGGACTGGCGCGTCACCCGCGCAGTATGACTTAAATGTGATGATGAACGGCCGATCTGTTCCCCCTGTTACGTCCACGCAGATTGCAGACTGTGGAATAATACACATGTTACTAAACAGAAAAAGCAACTGGAATCTATACAAATTAAACGTACTTCTTTGTCGCTGCCAAATCGTAAACGAAATCCGTTAATATTAGTTACGTTTACATTCCTCACAGGAAGTCGCTAAACAAGTAACTAGTTATTTGTAATAACTAGTCTTCCGACTTTACATGAAAATTGTTAAAGTAAATATCGATTGCAAGATACCAAATACGTAATTCATAAATTCATGTCTTTGCTACTGTGTGTTATATGAAAGTGAAAACAAATTGAGGTCACTGAACTGTTGATATATTTTATTTACTAATTTATTAAAATTCTGTTTTCTAAGAACACAATAAATAAAAGTATTATGAATTATTAAATGGAACAAACCCCATACCATTAGTTTATATGCATTTAGGAGAACAGTACATTTTTGCAATTATAACAAATGTTAAAATTAAAAATTTAATACCCAAATCTACTAGCATCAAAAACCGTCATGACCCGCCTTACGTCATAGCCGGTCCCCGCGAGCTCTAACTCAATTCACACCACTTTCAAAACGGCACTTATAAAATTTACATGTAAATTTCACTTCCTCTCAGTTTTCAGACGACGCGGCAACAATCGCAACGATGCGACTATTTATTGTGTTTATATTAACGTGCTGTGCTGTCGGAATATTATGCGATAGGCCTTGTGATACGAACTCATCTATGCCAGAAATTATTAGAGTTAAACGTGCCAAATACTACTCCAGTCCACCGCAGAGGTTTTACAGAAGACCTCCTATGAGTTACTCAAGTCATGGCGCGTTCTCCTATACGCCACCGCCAAGCCACATGATGGACGATGAAGACCAACCACCTAATCATAGACCACACAAATACAGCAGACGACCGACTAACGAGGGCCTTGGTGATGAAGACATAAATAATCTTCTCAAATATTTATCCAAAAAAGATTTAGATAAAATCGTCGAACACACACTAGCTAAAGAGAAATTTAAAAAAGATTATGATAAACCTTTAGATATCCCTAAACCCGTATATAATGAAGTTAACGACGATCTTGATGATGGCAATAAATTTTCTCTAAACGGTCCATACATTAAGCCGAATGGTGATTACGTTCCAACAGAAAACCCAAGTTTTAACGAAAACTATTCAGAATCTAGACCAATTGTAGTACCAGATACCCCAGAAAAGACTGGAAACTTACATTTTTATTCTCCAACACCGAGTGAAGGACAATCCAACCAGCAGTTCGCTGTAGTAGACAGTTATATGCAACAAGCAATCAATGGGCTGGGCTCTAACTCGGGTTCAAGTATATTCACTGATGGTAAAGTAATGCAAGAGGAACAGTTACCGATGCCTTCTAACTTGAGATACGAAGACCATTATGTGTCCTTTACTAATAACGACCCTGCTGTGGTGAAGGCTGACCCCAGTTCGTACAAAGTGGAGAGTTTTGGCAGCCTGCCCCTAATGAACTACGATTCGAAGCTGCATACCGTCAGTTCTTACAATGTACCGCATTATACTGTGAGTATTGATTTTTTAAATATCGAAACGAACGAATTATGTGATTCCGTAATTTTATTGTCTGTCAACAAGAAATTTTCTTGATGATGATGATTTTTACTTTCAAAGTGTTATATTTCAGATTAAGTAATGCAAATAATTGCGGCTTCTTGTTGTATAACGTATTAAGAGTCTACATGGTCTAATAAATTCGAATAATACCGTCGTTGAATATTATAATTAATTTTTAGCAGTTAGGATAACAGTTGCTTAAGTGGAAAAATAATTTGAATAATAATGAATTTTAAACTAAGCAAGTTATTAAATTTAGATTGCAAAGTATAAACTTATTGTTATTGTTAAAAACCGTCATAAAGACTGAAGAAAACACTAACGAAATAATTACTTGCTCAACAGGTAACAACACCTAATCAACAGCCAGCAACTCAGCAACATCAGCCATCATCCAATGGCAATACACGCCAGTCCAGTGTGGAGCTCGCCAGCTCCCGGGAGACCAAGTACCCAGACCAGAGTGACGCTCACCTCAAGGCTACAAAAATCTGGACTCACAAGTCTACTGGCACTGCCTACTATCTCCACAAAGACGGCACATTGTCGCTCGAGAGACCACGGTTTCCTAAATATGGATAATAATTTATGTGTTTTAAGATAATTTATTGTTAGAATTAAGCTTTGTTAATGTTGAATAAAATATTAGAAGAAATTATTGTGTTTCATTGTCGTGATACTAGATGAAGCATTAGTAGATAATTAATAAAATGTGTTTAAAATTATTAAAATAGAACATAACATTTTACACTCACCCCTTTATCCATTCTGAGAACAGTGAAATGGTTTTTCGTAATAGGAAAATGTTGAGACACGACGTTAGAATCTCTGTACTTGCAGTGCATCGACATAGAGTCGGTCTGCGGCCAGAACGGCGTGCATTGCTGCGGTGCTAGGTCTATCCACAGATCCGCCGCCTCATTCTCCTCCATGAAACGCAAATGTTTCTTCGTGTCGTTGTAGACTAGGAAATATGGGAGGAGTGTCACAATCTTTGTTAGTTGTGGGCAGAGTTCCGAAAGTGTAACCTGAAGAAAAAAACACAAATTGAGGAGAGTAAACAGAATTTGGGATGGATGACAAGACAGTATACTAACATGCAGCAGCATTCGGTAGTGTATTCTTCGTTCGGCGTGCGTGCAGACGAGCAGGCCGGGGGCGTGC